TGAATTCGTCACGTCCAAGCTTTCATGATTCTAAACGGATCGCCAGAGTCACAGAACAACCTCCAAAGGCAGTCTTCCCTAAAGTACCAGATCAACTTGCAACATGGGTCTTCTCACCCCGTTCAACGAAGGAAGGAAAAGAATAAGATTGCTTGCGATCTCTAAAGGATTCGCTCGTGCAAGGACATGATGCAAACCCTCCCTCAAAGGGCACCAAAGAGATAAGGAGGCGGAAAATGACGTTTTTTGGGAAGAACCAAAGGAACAAGGATTTTAGAAAACGATATTTTTAGGAAGATCAAATAGGAAGTTTGATAGATGAAGAACTCTTATCCTCGACGAAACCCTCGACGGGTTTCCTACGAATAGCTTTTTAGTACTACCTTCCCTCCAAGCTTTCCATAATATCCAATCTATTTTTTTATTAGGCGAATATGAGGACCTAAATTTCCTTGTTAAGAACAAATGCCAATCATCAAACTCGACTCATCTAGACTCGATAAAATGAGTGATAGTCAAAATTCAACTGGCCTATAAAGGGGCTCGAGTAATTGACTATATCAAGTCATCGGACGAAAATCAAGATGCCGGATACATAATATACAAAACACATCAATCGATGAGATCACGAGACTATAGCAAGAATCCTTTTGCGGATCAATCGATGGGGTCGTGATTTCTGTTTTCCTTTGGCAGCACTGAATAGCTAGGTCACATCCATTACAAAGCAAGGGACGTCGAGGTTAGTGGGGGAGGAGGGTTCGTCGTGTGTTGTCAAAGGAATGCTACGTACGTAACGTGTACGAGAGTTGCGTGTAGGTCCGGTCGATTTGGGAGGAGGAGGAGGAGGAGGTGTGGGATGTGTGGAAGTGGACAAACACAACACGTGACTCTCTTTATGAACCTAAAGTCATGGAGAGTAGTGAGGAAAGCGCATGGACGCGTATGAAGCGAAACGACCTCCGAGTCACCTTTCCAATATATTATGAAGTTTCCTAGGGTTTGTCTTGCCCATGCTCGGTATGGTTAGGGAATGTGGATAATCATTTTTCAAGACCCTTCTAGCTTAAGGGCATGCAATTGCTTCTATTTTTTTTTTTTTTTATGAGTGACAGAGTGAGGAAGTGCGGGAGATGTAGCTACCCATCTAAGCGTTGCCGTCGCTATTAGAAAAATCACAACGGGCAAAATCGTCCCTAAAAGCAAAAAGGGTTGTCCTTAATGCTCAATAGCCAAGGCTCATGGCCAATCGCGTGTCCTGTCCACACGTTGCCATTAAAGGAAACTTGTTGCGATGGCCGTTGCGGGGTCATTAACGATGGCCTCATGTGCTGTCCCCCACGACTACCATTAAGGAAAAATTTTCGAAATAAGTCTTTAAGTTTATTGTTCGGCGATCAATTCAGTCCTAAACTTTTCAATTTTATCAATTTAATCCTGAACATTTTTATTATCATCCACGTCAGCAACGATCATGTCACGTAAAACGATCCGAAAAAACTGGACTGCCACGTTGGCGATTCTAACCAAAATTGGCCGTATGGACTACGTTGGATAATCGTTAAAAAGTTTGGAACTAAACCAACAAAATTGAAAAGTTTAAAATCAAATTAACCATCATGTTTAAGACTATTGGGACAACTATCCCCTACCGTTGGTGACCAGTTTCTTATTACTTCCTTGAGAATTCTACCACTCGCCTACATTGTTGTTTGTGGGCATAGTACGACCGTCGCCAAGTTGGAGATCTGTCAATTATTGCTCCGTAACTTGTTGTACCTCCACAGCTGTATTGTGCCCCGCAATAAGAGTAACAGATTCACTGATGAGCAAGTAGCTAACAATCAGAATCATCGGCAACGAAAGTGCTACTTTCAGAAACTTGAAACCCTAGAAACCCTTGAGAACTAACAGATTCAGCAATAGGACAAAACTCCTCTCAAACTACAAAACTTAAAGACATATAAATGAATTTATGGTCAGCGATATGAAAGATTATTGTGTCAAAGAAACAAAAAACTTAAGATAGATGAGCATCCCTAATTTAGGCAAAGATTATTGTGGAATAATCATCATATTTACGGTCACGATCTTATCAATGCCAAGAAATGGGTGCATACAAGAAACGACAGTTCATCATCTCAAAAGATTTCCTTCTCCAGCTGAAACGTCACAGCTTGTACAAGAGGTTGGATAGCAACAACGACGATAGTAACTCCCAAAGCGCAGATAAAACATAATGATAGAAACGTAGAGTCGCCTTGCGGAGATGATGCAAAACTCTCAGTGCCTTAATAAGAAATCTCCAAACCCCACTAAGACCTAGGGTTTGTCATCTCGAGTGATGAAAGGGGACAGACAGATATTAACAAAGGAAAGAATAGGTTTCTTGCTCCTTTTTAAGTGAAAAGCTTAAAAGACAAAACGGAGTCCGACTCAAAACATCTCGAATCTACCAAAAGGATACATGTTCATTTGGGTTTCCGAAGGATTGATTGGCAGGGATATAAAAACTCATTAGCAAAGAAGGCTGTATTTCCTCTTTTCATGGTTGGAAGAAATTTCCTCCGGCCCTATCTCTTAAATGGTGTGGGTCATAGGTTATGCGGAAAAATTACCTAATTAGTTTTAAAATTATTATACGGATGTCAATTCAGTCATAAATTTTCAATTTTGCCAATTTAGTCTTAAACCTTTTGGCGAAATTCTAATATAATCCCTCTGGTCAACTTTTCCCAAAAATGACTGACGTGGCGGTCCGATGATCGCCAGTTGTCCTACGCGGCATGTCGTCACATTAGCGGTTCCAGTGAAAATTGAATAGAATGACTATATTGAAATTTTGCACAAAGTTTTAGAATAAAATCAATAAAATTTTAAAGTTTAAGACTGAATTGGCATCTATTCAATAAATTTAGGACTAATTAGACATTGGACAATTTCTCCTAAGTTATAGATATCATCCACATACAAACTTAACTAAATATAAATACAGATGATAATTATAAATGTAATATATTAACCAAAAACTGCTCGAATAAGTACAAGGGAATTGGAAAAAAAATATGAGTCTGAACCCTAACATTCCCTTCGAGAAAGAGGAAAGATGATTGATAATTTTTCTTTTGATCGAAAAAGATTATGGATAATTAAGTGCCTGTTTGTTCCTCATTGTCACATAAAAATTTGCACTCGGCCTCTCTTTTAACATTTAAAAAGAGAAACTATCTTTACTCTGAAAATCATGAAGGATTTGACGTAACGATGAGTTACCATTTGGGAGGTGGATAAGGAAGGGATGGATTAGCGAGGGGAGAATCTCATTTGGTAAAAAGTCAAAATCCCTTGTTTGGAAGTACAAATGCGACTGATTTCGAAAGAGAAATTAAATCCACTGGGCCCCCCATTCTTAATTCTCTCCAACTTGGAGAGAAAAGTGGCTTGGAATGTGAACTCCTTTGTCATTCTCCCATCTTTGCCCTCACAAGCACAAGGCAATGTTAAAAAGCCAAAGGGCAATAATAGTAAATAAACAGATCATTAAAAGTATTAAATATCCGTTTTCTCCACCTTCATTGTCATCTTTCCAAACAACACCAAAACAAACTTATTTTTTTTCTCCACCTATCTATTCACCTTCATTTTCAATCTCCTTATTTTCTTCTCCTCCTACTTTCTTTTCCCGAATAAAGTGTAAATGGCCAAACATGGCTTTCAAAGACTCAAGTTATTCAATATATTATATAAACCTATGTATAATTGCCAGACAAGATCGATACTTGAACAAGAAACACCGTTAAAATTCCTAAATTATATTCACTATGACTTTTTTTTTTATGTCATCCAAACATCCACCACCAAAAACCCGTAATTTTACTATGACATCAATACCCCCACCTTCTTTTCATGTACCGGTTTTGGGTTTTATGGCGAGCATAATTTAAAGTTTTTTATAACCTAGAAAAAGTTTGGATATGAGTGTCACAATATGCATAATATAAGATTTTTGATGACACAGATTATAGTTTGAGGTATCGACGTCTCGCCATGCACATTTTAAGATTTTTTTGTGGTATAAACTTAGGGTTAATACAACGAAAAACCCCAAATTAGTACATTTTTGATAAATTTACTCAAAACTAATTTTTTTACAACCAAAAACCCCAAACTAATAGACATGTGCCCTCCATTAGTTTCCGTTAAATTTTACCTTCAAATTCCTAAGTTTGATGACACGTGGTAATTGACGGGTGTATCAGTTTGAGGTTTTACCGTTCATTTGTCACAAGTATTTCAAGTTGTAGTTTTTTTTTATATTAATCCAATTTCACGGAAATTAAAGGGAGGTACATTTGTCAAAAATTTATCAGTTTGGGGTTTTTGATGATCAAAAGATTAATTTGGGTAAATTTATTGCAAATAGTCTAGTTGAAGTAGATATTTATGTTCTTTATTAGTTTGGGTATATTAATTTGAGATTTTTCGTAATATTAATTCATAAATTTATACTTAATATAATAATTTCACGTTCTCCCGCGTGCCCGAGCAGCGGAAAGAGGGATGTGGGCTAAATTAAGGATGTGTACAAAGTATGTGGATGGGATTCGTCACACCAAACGATGAGGGGGGGTTTTACCACATTTTATTATCGTGGTGTGTACTTCCAATTATGCGTACCACAGAAAAGCCAAAATCTAGGATGAGGACGACCCTTCTTTTATATTCATGTGAAAGTAAGGGGAAAAGACCATAAGTTAGGAAAATAAAAAAAGAACAAAACAAAAAAGGCTGTAGTCCCATGCCAGGACACAACTGTCATTCCAATGGTATGAACATATAATAAAAATCTTATATCTAATTTATAATCTAGGGTTCACGTCTCTCCCTCTCAACTGAAAACGACTGCAAAGCAACCTGTGGTCTACCTGTAACACACATTCCACAGATTTATATTGAGCCCACACACTTGCACACACGCACACACATCACATTAGATCCATGGACTAAGACCCAAAAGCCAAGCCACTCGTCTTCTTTATATACCAGTCTCTCTCTCTTTCCCTCCCCTCATCGTCTTCTTCCTCTCTCTCTCTCTCTGTCTCTCTCTCTCTTCTCTGCAGACACATGTTTCCTTCGAGCTGATCTGGGGGGCCAACGATGGTGGATCTTCAAGTCGTGTGCTGCATGTGCGGCGACGTCGGGTTCCCGGACAAGCTCTTCCGCTGCAGCAAGTGCCGCAACCGCTTCCAACACTCGTACGAACTTCACTCGTCGTCATCGTCATGAAAGTGTCTCTGACATGCGTGATGCATCCATATATGTGTGTCGCGCACTTGTTCCACGCATGGCCATCATCGTGACGACGCATGACATGTGTGTACATGAGCTGTGTTTGTATACCCATGTTCACATCCATGTTTGATAGTTACCCGTAACTGAATTTCTCACCAAACGCCTCCTTGAACCACCTCCTCACCAACCGCCGCCACCGCCGCCGCCGCGGGGTCCGCGATACATGATTCTGGCATTATGAGCATATATATCGTGCACATGCGTCCTCTAGTTGATGACATAGAAGATGATGATCAGCAACTGTTGAACTCCACACTATTCTTAGGGACGTGTCTAGCTAGAATGACTCAGTTGTAATAACCAAATCTGTATATGTTTGATCGACGACAATCACATTAAGAAACTTCTCTATCTTCAATTATCTTTGATTTTGCTTGGGAATATGAGATGACACACACAAACTTTGGTGTCCCACAGGTATTGTAGTAGCTACTACGGCGAAGCGTCCGAGCCGATCGTGCAGTGCGACTGGTGCCAAAGCGAGCAGAGAAGCACGAGATCAAACGGAGGCTCGTCACGGAGGTCCGGGGCGGCGAACGTCAACGCGGGCGTCCCGAAGTCCGAGTACTCCGGCGACCGGATAATCAAGCAGCATGACCGCGAGGACGGCACTGCCCCCGCCGCTGCTGACAAGGGGAAGAACCCCTCCCCGCGGACCGCCACCCGCAGGTACAAGCTTCTCAAGGATGTCATGTGCTAGTGGGAACTATGAACTAGATTTCTCAAACCTCCAGTGTAAATTACCTAAGTTGCATACACATATAGCAGTATATTCTATAGAAGGCCTCAACATAAGTGCTCTCTCTAATTGTCTTTTGTGGTGTTCTCTCTTTGTTTTTGGTGAGACCACTGTTTGATCTACTGTGGTTTCCCATGATGTTGTCTCCTTAAAAAACAATGTAAATCCAGAAGAACCCAAGTGAACTGCACGAGTTTTCGCATCTTTTTATCGAGTTATTCTTTCGTCTCTCTTCTGTGCTCCTTTGTTGTCTCCTCTTCTTTGAACTGACTCGTACTCTAATATTTGAGCTAACAAGGAAGACCAAACGGAATTAATTTAATGAATGGTCACCTATGCTATTATTTTAGTATACCTAGTATATTATTTTTAATATATATTTTGGGTAATATTTGCTATATTAATTTAGTAGGGTGGATCATATATAAATGTGGATGTACCAACACTATGATTTAGGGTGGCTGGTGGATGGCAAAAGAGGGTCTCCCGTAAGGCATGTGGTGTCTCTATCAGAGTTTGGTTCTTGATTGAAATTTGCCATAAGATGAGAGAATTCAATGCGCACTTGGATTGCTTTCGTCCATGGGATTCATAGTACCTAAAGCTGCTCTAGCTTCTTCTTTTTCCTTTCTTGCAGAATTCATTGAAGGCTTTTTAATATATCTAGGCCTCTATTATCGCTTTTGGATTCCTTTTCTTTTCTTATCTTTTCTTTTTCCTTGGAAAGAAGAAAGGATCGAAGGGAGGTGAAGAAGACAAAGCTGTGGCAGATGGGTAGTTGGGAAAATTTATTTGCAGTGTCCCAATCGGTTTAAAAAAATTTCAACCCACCTGATGGACGGGGAATTCTTACTTTGATGTCATCAAACGGACATTATTGTTAAACATTTTGAAATTGCTCTTGATTTCAGCATAGTTTTGTTGGATTTTGAGTAGATTGGGAGATTAGGTTGGTGAAAGTCCGCTATAATCTCACTTTAGGCTTGCTTTTTCTGATACTAACAGTGTTAATGCTCCTATCCCTTTTTGTGACTATTTAAAAAGATAAACATCCAAAGCTCAAGAACCAATTCCAATTCATATCAATACAACGGGATTGTTTGGACAGAAGATGGTATCGATCGACCTATATAATTTTGGGTCTCGTTTATTGTTATTTATGAAAGGGTTAATACCACGAAAAATCCAAAATTGATACACTTGTAACAAATTTACCACAAATTAAATTTTTTTACTATAAAAAATCTCAAATTGGTCACTAAAAACCCTAAATTAGTATATTTGTGATAAATATATCTTTCGTTATTTTTCGTTAAATTGGACTAATATTATAAAAAATTACAAATTGATACATTTATGAATTAGTATATCATTAACTGTCACGTGTCATTCAACTCAGCAATTTAATGAAAAATTTAACGGAAATCAATAAAGGGTAAATTTATCACAGATATATTAATTTTTTTATTTTTAATTAATTTAAGATAAATTTATCATATATATATATTAATTAGTATTAATCATTTACGAAAAAAATGAATTTGAATGATTTTCATAATTTGTAACTCATTCATCCATGATAAGATTGATGGAATTGCAGACTAGTTGTTTGGAGTGAACAGCACTTGATAACGCATGAGTGCTTTATTTGGTACGTGGACGCTGTTTGTGTGATATCTTTGTGGAAGTACGGAAGCTGATAAGGTCTTCTTCTCCCACTGCCATCTGCCTTGGCCATTTATGACAAAACAACAAAACTCTCAAGGGATGTGCGAAAATATTGTTTAACCAAAAATAAGTAAAAGAAAAATTGTTGAATATGCTTTCCACTAACCATCAATTATCTTGTGATTTGACGAGATTACATAAATTATTATGCATAATTCGACTATTATGAACATCTATATCTGAAGGAGTTGACTAAGGAGTTAGACCACCTCGATCCAGATGCAGCTAACCTAGTGCTCAAATCACAGCATCTACAATTCATTGGTAGATGCATGCATACACTGCCTCTTATGCTGTGAGAATTATGAGAGCTGCACGTTGGAATTTCTACGTTATTGAAGATAAAATACTTCTATTTATCATAATTGTTAAACCAAGATACGGAGAAAAGGATAATACAAGTGTCATAACTTTGGTACTGTCTTTACTTTGCCAAAAAATTTTGCCGAATCACTTTAGTACCACATCAAAAAGAAAAACAATCACTCAATTCCGATGATTCGTCCTACATGGCATTTTTAGTAAAATTTTAATTTTTACTTGACTTTTTTTTTGGAAAAAACAAGGCCAACAGGGAGATTGACCTAGATCTGCACAACAATCTCCAAACCCAAACTCGGCCCTCAAAGAAACCCTGAGCAGAGATTACTTGGTCGAAGTCATCAGCTAAATCCATGACTACCCGGATAAGGACAAATCATTCCGTCTTGTAGATTGACCTAGTCAAGCAAACCCCATGCGTCCATGCGGAGTTCAAGTACCGCGACCTTAACCTTGATGGGGTCACTCTGTCCAAGGAGCAAGATCTCGAAAGGTTGAGGGATTAGGTTTGGAAAACAAAACGAAATTTTTCCCAATTCGTAAATGGATTGCGCTTTGTCACTCTCTCTTTGACTAAAACACTCCTCAAAATAATAATCTGACTATATTACTCTTTATGAGTCCCACTTTTTAGCATCCCTCTTCTATTAATGTTTTAAGAAAGTGTTGTTCCATTTTTTTTGGTCGTATCCCTTTTCTTTTATTATTTTTCTATTATTTTTCTTGTGGATCCAACATTCACCTTCATTGTCTTCTTCCTTCTCTATGTTCTCTCTCATAGAAGTAAAGAAATGAAGACTTACACGCTAGCGTAGGCGGAAGCAACTAAACTGATCCTCATAATCTACAATAGCACCTTCTCGAGCCGCCTGAGTGAAGGCTCTACACTGTATATCTTACGGCGGTATGGGGGTGGTGTTCGTGGAGAAGTGCATACTAGCGAGGCATGAGGAGTTGTGCGCTCTGCATTTGATGAGCTTGGCGAAGGTGGAGTAGTTCGCGCTAATGAGGAGGAGGAGCTGGGAAGGGTGATGGGAAGGCTAAGGGCGGCCGCCTTGAGACATACTCTTCGCAATTTAAAACATTTCATCGAAAAACTCTTCTCTGCACAATAGAATCTATGAAATTCGCAAAAGCAGCGTCGCTCACAAGCAAACCCATTGGCATTTCATTACCTCCCAAAGCCTCACAATCAATTTCCCTGCCTTCTCACCATCTAGCTATCAAAAATATTCACCGACCAATTTGCTAAATTTCCTTACAAAGAGTGTGAATTACATTGAGGTTGAGTGAGTAAGATTATTACCTACGGAGACGGAGGTGGTCAAGGAGGAGGGCTTTGCCGATGTCCCGGTGGCGGGTTGATGTAGCCTGGACTAGGATATGCAACCACAAGAACGTGACCTTCATGATTCTCCATTTTTCTACCTCTTGAGAGAGAATAGAGTTCTACCAAAAAAAAGGGAGAAAGAACGGAGAGAAGAAAGAAGATTAAGAAAAGTGGACATTGGACCCATAAGAAAAGAAATACGAAAACAATAAAATAAAATAAAAAGACAAAGGGATGCTAAAAAGCATGGCCCACAAATGACAATATTGTCAGAACACTGTGTTAATGAGTGTTTTAGCCATAAAAAGAATGAATAAAGCATGGCCCTTCGTTAATTTAGGGCAAATAAATGTGAGAAGGCATTGTTTAGCTTTTGAAAATTCATCTTTTATCTTCTTCTTCATCATCAACCTCTGCATCCAGGTCTTCAATGTCTTCCTCATCTTCATCAGCACCTCATCGCCTTTAGCTTCTTCTTCTTCTTCTTCTTTAATTGTAATCCTCTGCAAAATGAAAAAGGAAAAAAAAAATTTGATGTCCAGAGTGAACAAAAAATTAAGTCCATCATAATATATAATTATGACGTGGCTCTTTCCACCAAGCCATGCTGAACTATTTCCTTTAAAATAATGACACGTCAGATTTTTCAGCTGCTCAGATCGGCGATGGCACTTAACTGATTGGTTTTACATAAAAGTGGTACTCAAGTGACAGCTCGAAAAGTTTTGGTCATAAAATGAATACCGTACGAAAGTTACGACACCTCTAGTGTCCTTTTCCCCGTATCATGCATCGAGATCTTAGATATATAAATCTGAGGTATCACTTATGAGATAGACATCTATAATTGTATAGTCAATATTATAAGTTATAGAATTTTGAACAAGAATTAAGATTTTGGAAAAAGAATCTTAATTTCGAGTGCATGTGATGATCCCCATGCATAAGAAGGTATAATTTCCTATTGTTTTATAAAAGAAAATATTACATTCAAAATATAAATCACAAAATATATCTCATTTTATTCATCATGCATTATACAGTGCAAAATTTATTTTTAGTTTTTCTGTAACTATAAAAAAAAATATAACATATATTGTAAAGTAGGGTGAAAGTACATAATTTTAACAATTGAGCATATAAAAAAAATCAAATCGTTTACATTGATAGAAACGTATCGGATGGTAGATTTATTTGCGGATCAATAGATTCGCTTCCGATTCAAGTGATAGATACATATCGTTAGAGCCTCAAATCGAATGCATTGTACAACATCGATAATCATACAATTTCAGTAACTGTGCACTGAATATAATATTGACACACCATATATGCAACAAAAAATTTGGTATATATTCAGCGTATCTCGGTTAGTTGATACAGAAATAAACTAAAATAATAGAGAGTTGGCAAGAAGCCAAAATACCTCCTCAAACGATGCCTCGTCTTTGTGATAATTATGCTTTGTTCATAATGATTGATATCGATGGAAGCGAACATCGACATCTAGATTGTTAGGGAAGATAAATTGTTGATGAGGAAATAGGCTTTGAGGCGTGTATAGCATCATTTTCAGAAGTGTTATTGTCCTATGGGAGAAGAATAGAAAGCAAAATATCTCCACAATACAGCAAAACCACTTAAAGAAAATGCTCTCTTATGAAAATTGCGTGAAAATCTAAATAACTTGTATATCTACACTAATCGAGAAATGCGTTTTTCAATAAAAGACTTTTTTTGACAAAAAAAAAAAGAATACGAGACTTTGAAAATATAATCGACGTGATCGTCGACAAGCCACACTTCCCTCGTGTTATATAATTATCGGGATGCTATAAAGATGACTATTGG